AAAAAACGCATCCGCCGGAAACTCGCACCCCCCCCCCACCCCCCCTTCCCCGGCAGACCCACCCCGGCAACCCCCCCAGAGGCTGAGGCTCAGCCTCGAGGCTGTAGCTGAGACTCCTTGAAACTCACACGCCGGATCGGCGGATTTCATTACGTTCCTGGCCCCCCCGCTGGGCCGCGCACATGCCGCCGGTCATGATTTGCACCCCCCCCTCTTGGACACCCCCCTACCAAACACACTAAACCAAACGTCAACGACCAAAACCCGCACCACCCCCCAACCCAGAAACGACCTACGCAAACCACCTATACCACCATACCCCCAGCCCCTCTCGATTGCCGCTCCCGATTCTGAGCACACTCGGACCTGCCAGTGATCACGTTCAAGTTGCCGTGGTGTTCCCAGGGACCACTCCGCGAGGCATTCCGGGAGCCACGCATTCCAGGGCGCCTCTTCTTGTTTGACTACGTTCCTGGCCCCCCCCCTTGGGCCGCGCACGTGCCGCCGGCCATGATTTGCACCCCCCCTCTCTTGGACGCCCCCGTCTTTGCCGCCCCCGAATGCAACCCCGCCGCCCATGTCGGCTCACCCCCCAAACGCTTCCAGGCCCCACGGGGAGCTGCGCCCAAGGCCTCAATGGTGCCGTTCGCCTGCGTCACCGCCACCCATGTCGGCGCACCGCCACTCACGCGCTTCGTGGCCCCATGGGGAGCTGCTGCGCCCAAGGCTTTAATAGTGCCGTTCGCCTGCGTCCCCGCCGTCCGTTTCGGCACACCCCTCACGCTCTCCGTGGCCCCAGAGGGAGCCCCACCTGGGGCCCACACCCCTCACGCGTTTCGTTGCCCCAGCGGGAGTTCCACCGAGGGCGGTGCCTTTCGCACGCGTCCCCGCCACCTATTTCGGCACACCCCTCACACGCTTCGTGGCCCCATAGGGAGCTCCACCGAAGTCCCCAGTTGTACCGTTCGCACGCGTCCCCGCCATTCGTTTCGGCACACCTCTCACACGTTTCGTGTCCCCATAGGGAACTCAACCCACGGACCCATCGACGACGTTCGCATGCGTCGCCGCCACCAATTTCGCCGCATCCCTCACAAGTTTCGCGGCCCCATGAGAGCTCCACCGATGATGATATTCACAAGTGCATGTGGTTGGGTCCTTCGCCCGGGTTCCTTGGTTTCTGACTCCCCCTTAATAGATTTGTTTTAGTCCGGATTGGAGCCCCATTGCGCTCCCTCAGCCGTATTGGATCCCCCTTGGGGGCCTTTTGGGCGGTCTTGGGACCTTCTCGGCCAGTCTTGGAGGCCTTTGGGGTCGTCTTGGGCTGTCGGAATCTACACCAGGCGGGAACGCGACAAACACTGAACAACCAATAGGAAACCCTTGATCTTGTTCTGTTCGGGCCCTCTTGGAGGGCCTCTTGAGGCCCTATTGGCCAGTATGCGGGCCTCTTGGGCCGTCACTGGGGCAACCCAGGGTTGGTTTCGAAACGTTTTGGACCAATTTGGAGGAGGCTATTTTGGAGGAGGTTAGCTTGGGAAACGAGAAGGAGAAGGCCTTCTCAGCATGTTCGGAGAAGGAGAAGGAGAAAACAATTCCTCCTTCTTAGAAGGAGAATGAGAAGGAGAAGGTTGTCTCCCAAGAGAACACCTGAAAAGTTTCCCTACGCCTTTCCCGAAGACAGAACAAACAACTTCGCAGAAGGCGGCGAGGGCTTCTCAGAAAGGTCCCGCCGCCTTCTGCGAAGGCCTTCTCCTTCTCGCTTCTTCCGCAGGAGGAGGATGAGGAGGCGGCGGAAGAGGAGGAGGAGTAGGAGGAGGAGGGCAGAGGAGGCGGAGGAGGAGGAGGAGGGCGGAGGGAGAGGAGGATCAGGAGGAGGAGGAGGAGGAGGAGGAGGAGGAGGGAGGGTAGGAGGAGGAAGGAGAAGCAGGAGATAGGAGGAGGAGGAGAGGAGGCAGAAGGAAGAGAGGGGGGCGGAGGGGCGAAGGAGGGGAGGAGGAGGAGGAGAGAAGGAGCCAGCGCAGACCGGCTTCCGCACGCATGGAGCGGCTCGTGCAGCCGCTCGGGGCTGGGGGGGAGAAGGCTTCCCTCCTCCTCCACCTTCTCCTCCTCGTCCTCCTCCTCCTCCCTCTTCCTCCTCCTCACCTGACCCCCTCCAACCTCCTCCTCGTCCTCCTCGTCCTCTCATTCCTCCTCCTCCTCGTCCTCCCTCCTCCTCTTCCGTCTCCTCCTTCTCATCCTCCTCCTCCTTCCCCTCTCTCCTCTCTTCCTCCCAACCTCCTCCTCCTCCTCCTCCGACTCCTCCTCCTCCTCTTCCTCCTCTCCTCCTCCTCGTCCTCCTCGTCCTCCTCCTCGTCCTCCTCCTCTCCCTCCTTCTTCTCCCCCTCCTCCTCGTCCTCCTCCTCCTCCTCCTCGTCCGCCTCCTCCTTGCTCCTCCTGCTCCTGCTACTACTCCCTCCGGGTGGGGCAGGTCCTGCGAACGCCGAGGGGAACAGCGGATATAGTTGAGGCCCATGCCTAGAAACATCCTGCTTGCCTCCAGAGTGCCCTGGATATCTTGGGTTTCGATGGTTTTGCGATGGAGAGCGTGACGTTCCCACACCAAAAATCAGTGGACGTCCTGGGGTCTCAGGGTTGGGTTTCTAGTGGAAGGTTTCTTGTGGACTGGTCTCCACTGTACTTCTCAGAAGCCCTCGCGCCTGCTGAAAAGTGTTTTCCGCGTCTCTGGGGAAGGTGTAAAAGATTTTTCAGGAGTCGGGGGCTCAAGTAAGAGACGGGGGCCCACGCAAACAGGCCAGGCAGAGCGCCAGATCTTGCAGGATGCTGCAGGGCCAGGGTTGCACGGACCTGGGCTTGGGCGCAGGATCTTGCAGGATCCCGCAGGATCTTGCAGGATCCTGCAAGGCCTGACTGACCCCGGTCTGGATGGACCGGGTTCAGTAGATCCCGAGCCGAGTTGGAACCATGGTAAAGTCACGTTGGGGTAGGTTTGCCCGTGATGTCTCGCGTATTGTTTTGGTGGCAACTCATAGCAGCCTCCCGTACCATCTTTGTCTATTGCGAGTCGACGCTATATCGACGCTAGATCGGCGTTGTTTCATCGATTGCCAGACGCTGATCGACGGAGTTTCGAGAATGGTCGCGTGAGTTGGTACCTGGTATTGTATGACATTGGCTCGGAAAATGCACAAGAACTGGATGAAGATGCGTTCGTGGAGTATTGCATTCATGCGTTAGCACCGCCACCCTTATTGTCCTCTCTCACCACACCTCAGACATATTGATTAGTTGTTGTGTTTTCATTATCTTGTCTGCAATTCTTGTTTGGCGCGTGTGAGAGTCATCAAGAAGCTTGGGTGTGATAACCCTTCTGGGTGATCAGAAAAAGCAGGGAAGTTCTATGATCCCCAGGACGCCCCTGCACCGTACATCCCTGAGTTGGGCATGTTTGTTTGAGCCCAGGCGAAAATTCCACAACATTGAGGACCAGTGTCGCCGAATGTGGTTGGGGCCAGCCCTCCCACTTTTTCCAGCCCTGGCCTGCTTCCTTCCATATTTACCAGCCCTGGGGACTACTCTCGTTCGCCTCGGGCTTGTTAATTAACAGTTTTCTTGCCCCCGCTCGGGCAGCTTCCGCCTCCACAGCCTGTCCAATGTTCCCTTGTCCCGCCGTCACTGCTTGTCCCGATGCCCGTGTACGATTGCGCACCAAAAAGCCTGAAGAGAACCCGACCTGCTCACGGGAGCGGGCCTCGCCGTGCGGCCCGCAGCCTCCGCCCGGCTTCCTGTTTCAAAGCCCACACCCGGCTCGCTCTCTGTCGGGGGCGGCAAAGAGGGGGGTGACGACTAGAGGGGGGTGGATACCATGACTTGGGCCATGATGTTTCCCCAGATTTCAGGGCGCCTCTTCTTATTTCATTGCGTCCCTGGCCCCCCCGCTGGGCCGCGCACATGTCGCCGGTCATGGTTTGCACCCCCCCCCTCTTGGACACCCCCCTCTTGGCCGCTCCCGATTCTGAGCACACTCGGGCCTGCCAATGATCACGTGCAAGTTGCCGTGGTGTTCCCAGGGACCACTCCGCGAGGCATTCCGTGACCCAAGCAAGCTGCCGACGAGGAGACGTGCTTCATGCGGGCAGCCATGCTGCTGGCTTCTCCGCAGCTCACCCTGAGTGTCAGCCCAGCTTTCCTTTGGCGTGGCTTGGGCTGGTGGACCGTGGAGGAGTGGTGTGGCTTCGGGTTGCTTGCGCACGGGCAGCCCCCCCGGGGGGGGGCTGCCCGGGCGCAACCCGAAGCCACACCGGGCGAGTCGGCGAGTCCCAGAACCCCCCGGGCGAGTCGACCCGCCCTGGAACCCCCCCGGGCGATCCAGGACCCCCCGCGCCCTCCCAGGCGAGCGGGGGCGGCTGCGGGAAAAGCTCCGCCTGAGCTCCCCCTTTTGAGGGAATTTTGGCGGGGTCGATCCGCACACTAAAATGAGGGGGGGCCCGCCCTCAAGCAGTCTCGGCTGGCCTCCGCAGGCCCTCCAATTGCTCCCAGCCAGCCTCCGCGCGGTCCACAGCCCCCCCCCTCCGAGCAGTCCCAGCGCCGGCCTCGGGTGCGGAGCGCCCCAGGGGCGCCTTCGGAGAAGCGGCGTCGGGGTGTGGAGACCGCCCTCGACCACTCTCTGGGGGCATGCTGCGGCCAGCTGGGGCCACTCCAAGGGGGCCTCCTGAGGCCAGCCTTACGTCGGGCCTGTCCCCCTACAGGGGGAGCTTCGACGAAAAATAAGAAATACCCCAGAAAGAATCCGAAAATACTACAAAAATAGTCTGGGGACTAGTTTTTAAAGTGTTTCTTAACCTTTCTGGTGTATTTTTACGGTATTTTTTTTCGACGAAAATCCCCTGGTAGGGGGACACGCTCGACAGAAGGCCAGCCATGGCTGCCTTGGGAAGGCCGATCGTGCGCAGAACCCGCGGCTTCACCTCAGCAGAGGAGCACCGGGCCGCTCGCTTCAGGTGGTCAACCGCACCGACGAGCCGGTGCAGGTGAAGGTCTTCGAGTTCGGGAAGAGCGGGCACGCGTCGCGCCTCTTCAGGACGGCGGGGGGGCGAGGAGGAGGAGTATCGAGGATCGAAGATCGAGGATCGAGGAGGGCCGATGATCGAGGAGGACCGATGAGGATCGAGGATCGATGAGGATCGAGGATCGAGGAGGGCCGATGAGCGAGGAGGACCGAGGATCGAGGGCCCAGGCAGCTGGGCGTGTCTGGTCCTCCTTGGGCCTCTCGCAGGGCCCGCGGGGCTCCAGGGGCTTCTGGGGGCATCCGAGCTAGGACGGCGAACCGGAACGCACCATGGACAGAGATTTCGGGCGTCCATTGATCGCAGGAGGGAAAAGGAAAGAGATAGACAAACTCAAGTAAACATTGATTCCCATGAAAAGATGTCAAACTTGTTGGGAAGGAGGGGAATCAGGAAATCCAGGGAAAAATTGCCCTGGCGGAGGACCTAACCATACGCAGCTGTGAGTACCGCGTTGTGGGTACCGCTCTCGGTGGAACCCTCTATGGGGCCACGATCCTCGTGAGGGGTGTGCCGAAATGCGCGGGGGAACGCATGCGGACCCTGCCGCTAGGGCCTTCGGGGGAGCTCCCTATGGGACCACGATCCTCGTGAGGGGTGTGCCGCAATGGGCGGGGGGACGCATGCAAACCTTGCCGCGGGGGCCTTCGGTGGAGCTCCTGATGGGGCCACGATCCTGGTGAGGGGTGCGCCGAAATGGGCGGGCCACCCTGCCGCGGGGGCCTTCGGTGGAGCTCCTGATGAGGCCACAATCCTCGTGAGGGCAGTGCCGAAGTGGACGGGGGGACGCATGCGGACCCTGCCGCTGGGGCCTTCGGTGGAGCTCTCGATGGGGCCACGATCCTCGTGAGAGGTGTGCCGAAATGGGCGGGGGGACCATGCAAACCCTGCCGCTGGGGCCTTCGGGGGAGCTCCCTATGAGGCTACGATCCTCGTGAGGGGAGTGCCGAAATGCGGGGGGGAATGCATGCGGACCCTGCCGCTGGAGCCTTCGGGGGAGCTCCCTATGGGACCACGGTCCTCGTGAGGGGTGTGCCGCAATGGGCGGGGGACGCATGCGGACCCTGCCGCGGGGGCCTTCAGTGGAGCTCCTGACGGGGCCACGATCCTGGTGAGGGGTGCGCCGAAATGGGCTGGGGGACGCATGCAAACCCTGCCGCGGGGGCCTTCGGTGGAGCCCCCGATGGGGCCACAATCCTTGTGAGGGGTGTGCCGAAATGGGCGGGGGGGTGCATGCAAACCCTGCCGCTGGGGCCTTCGGTGGAGCTCCCTGTTGGGCCACGAACCGCGTGAGGGGTGTGCCAAAGTGAGCGGGTGGACGCATGCGGACCCTGCCGCTGGGGCCTTCGGTTCAGGCGATCGCAAACATGGATTAAGGGGGCGCGGATTATAGCGACGGGTTCTGTTTCCATGGGAAATCGCGGCCTCAGTTGGCGACCGCGCGCCCAATCCGTGGATCGCTAATCCATATTTGCGCGCCCCCGATCGGTAGAGCTCCCTGTGGGGCCACGAGCCTTGAGGGGTGTGCCGAAATGGTTGGCGGTCTCCGCGTGCAGCCTGTGGCACTGGGGCCCTCGGTGGAGCTCCCCGTGGGGCCGCGGACCGTGTGAGGGGCGTGTCACGACGCTGACGATGGCGATGGTGATGACGCCGATGATGGCGATGGTGCTCACGATGGTGACGATAGTGATGATGATGATGATGATGATGATGATGATGATGATGAGGATGATGCTGATGATGATGATGATGATGATGATGATGATGATGATGATGATGATGATGATGATGATGATGATGATGATGATGATGATGATGACGGCACGCGGAGAGCAAAGGCATGGATGAGAGCAGGGAGGAGGGGGAGGAAGGAAGGAGGCGGGAACGTGGGGCGTTGTCTCTTCAAAACGAGGACGCAGCACCACAGGATGGTTGGGAATAATGGGAGTCCTAGAATATGTGTCGATTTCTTTGTGTCTCCCTGGGCCCATGGATGATCATGTCTCTCTCCCACTGGCTGAACGCGTCCACTCACAATTTCGGGCATGAATTGGGTGAATGCGTCCGCCTGCGCCCGACCCCCTCCCCTCACCCCGCGGCCCCTTCGGCGCTGCCCCCTGGCGCGCTTCGCGCGCTGGGGATGGGTGTGTCCAGATCTTCTTCGGCTCGGTTTGTTTGTGTTGCCAGCCCCTGGAACTCTTGACCCTCTCGATCTCCTCCCCGGAGCCGCTTCTCATCCTGGGCTGTTGTGTTCGATGGCAGGTCTTTCAGCGACCTGGGGTTGTCCAGAGTTGTGCTGATACAGTCGGGGCCCTGAAGAAGGAACCCTTTTCGTTGGGGAGGGGCTCCGCGTTCCTTATGTGTTTCACAGCTTGCCTCAGGTGTTCCTTATGTCTTCGATAGGAAATCGAAGTCTAACTTATGGAAAAAAGGGGCCTCGTTCCTTATTTAGGGTTCCTTAGGTCAAGGCCCCGACTGTATGTTTTTCGTGGCGCCAGGATCTGACAGGAGAGGCTCTGGCACCAGCGGGAACTCGTCCGCAGGCGCGCGAGGGTGAGTCGACATAGGTCGAGGGTGGACAGAACCCCCAGCAGTGACACGTCGATTTGTGAATTGTCCGTTTTCGGTTCTCGAGAGGGCGCCGTGGCCGTTATTTCCCAGGCTTGCGCCCGCCAGGTTTGGGCCCGAGGTCGTTTTCACTAAACCACGTTTTACTAAAGGGAGATCTGTCCATCCCCGAATAGGGGGGGAATGGGCTCTGAGGGAAACGGGTCCTACAGTCGGGCTTGATGCGACCCTGCAAGATCAAGGGTACCCCTCTGTCCTGGCTTTAGAGGCCCATGCCTGCTGCATTGCTGTGGCAGTGTAGCCCTCGGGATGGTCCTGTGTCCTCTCGCGTGTCCCCTCCAATCAAACTCGACTAGTCCCTCGGGCTTTCCCCAGGGCCAGCGCTTCCCTCTGCAGGACTCTCTCTCCCCCAGAGCCCGTCTCATACTTCAGTGACCCGTGACATGCAGTGGAAACCCATGCCAAGAAACACCTTGCTTGCCTCCAGGGTGTTCTGGGCTTCTTGGGAAAGCATGACGTCCCCACACCAAAAACCAATGGACGTTCTGGGATATTAGCGTTAGGTTTCTTGTGGAAGGGTCCTTGTGGTCGAGCTCCTACTTTGTGGCTCTCTGGAGGCCTCCCCAGTCGGTCCCTGCATTGTGTCCAGTGGAAGGGCGTGCCTGCATGGACGCGGGGATGCCATGCGCCGTGCGGTCGTGCCATCTGATGCCGCAGACGGAGGTCCCTACTGGGCACGAGACGCGTGAGGGGTGTGGTGAGGGGTGTGCCGGTACAGTGGGGGCCCCTGCCAAGAAACACCTTGGTCGCTTCCAGGGTGCCCTGGGTTTCGAATGTTTCGAGGGTTTTGCTATGGAAAGCGTGATGTCCCCACACCGAAAATCAGTGGACGTCCTGGGGTCTCAGGGTTGGATTTCTTGTGGAAGGTTCCTTGTGGACTGTCCTCCACTGTATCAGCTGAGGGACGCCATGCGGACGCTCCCGCTGAGGCCGCAGGTGGAGCTCCTGACGGGCACAGGCAACGTCTGAGGGTTGCGCCGACACTGCCGCGCGGAGAGCAGACGCAGGGAGGACACCTGGGGTGGCCCCCCAAAGGCCCAGAAGATGCCAAAGTCAAGGGAACAATATCCATCGGTCGTTGAACGCAGGTATTTTTGGAATCCCAGGTTCCAATCTTCTTCGAACGCCTTCCTACTTCAATGATCGAGTGGCTTCCCATCTCCTCTCCAGGTGGCGGGCTGAGACCCAATATACTTCCAGCGCCTGCCTACTTCATGCTGACACCTACTTCTTCCGACCGTTGGGTACCATCAACCCTCCTCCCTCCTCGCGCTCCTCTTTCCTCGGGTCTTGGAGCCCGCGTTCTTCTCGGATCCTCCCGGCGCAGAGCGGGCGTCACCCATGTTCGGAGGCCCCCAAACGGGTGTGACCACACCGGCGTGAGTCCGTGGGGATTCGGTCACCGCACGGTTTTTCGGGCGTTGGGGGTCTGTGTTCCGAGGATGTGATTGCGACAGGCCTCCGGGCCCACGGCCTGCGGTACGAACGCGTGCGTGAAGGTCTTGGGGGGTTGCGAGGTCAATGCACGTCCGTCACCGCAACCGGTTTCGGGCTCCAGACGGGCGGGGAGGCCAGGCATACACAAACTTGCGAGTCGGGCGGGCGGTCCTATACCATACCATGCCTCTTCCCATTTCTCCTCCTCCTCCTCCTCCTCCTCCTCCTCCTCCTCCTCCTCATCGTCCCCTCTCCTCCCCTCCCCTCCCCGTCCTCTCCCCTCCTCCCTCCCCCCCTTCCCTCCCTCCTCCTCCTCCTCCTCCTCCTCCTCCTCCTCCTCCTCCTCCTCCTCCCCTTCCCCTTCCCCTTCCTCCTCCTCCGAGAGGGGCCCGCCGCCTCGGCGGCTTCTTCTGTGCGCCCACGCGGGGGGGGGCGGGGGGGCGCTGGGAGAGCGGGCCGGCACAGGGCTGAAGTCGGGCCCGTCCCTCAGCAGGAGGGAAGATCCCAACAATCGTAAAGTGCTCACTGCGTGGAGCTCCCCATAGGCTTGACCCCCTCGCGTCGTGAACAAATCGCGACGGAAGGTTGTTCGCGATTTTCGGCTTCCGCGGGCCCTTCCCGGGCCCAGGGACCGTCATAAAGCGGCTCAGGATGAGAAACCGGTTCCGGGGAATGGATCGAGACTTCTGGGGGTCGACGTTCTGAAAAATCTTGGCGTCGGACGTGTGCATCTTTCCTTCGGCGAGGACCATCGAGGAGCATCCTTGATCATTTGGCGAAAAACCCCACGCACGAAACCGAAAAAAGAACACAGGGAAGGGACGTCCCAGCGACGGCAAGCAGGTGCATCCTTTTTTTTGTAGAGGTAATCTTGTATCTGGGTCTGTATGAACACACGTGAAACACCACGGACTTGTGCCCCAGGAGAGGCCCAATCTATATAGGAGCATACGTAAAACATGTAGGATTGTGCACACAGGGAAGCGGCAATATAAATATTATCATACGCACCTCTCCGAGGGAGTAGAGCTCAGAGGCCATTAATGCGCACGCGTCCGCGATTTTTCTGGGCGTTTCGCTCGGGACATCCTCGAAATTCTGAAAATCGGTGGCACCCGTCACGCAGATCGTGACGTCAGGGTCCAAAAACACATGGGAATTTCAACATTTTCACATAAAACCTTCAAAAACACATGGTAATTTCAATGATTGTGACCCCGATTCTCAGAGAATGGCGATTTCGCCTGAGACATCCTCCCAAAATCGAGCCCCGACGTACCTTCTGGTAACAGACCCCGCCTCGGAGCCTCTTGGGAGCCTCCTGGAACCTCCTGGGGCCTCCTGGGGCTTTCTGCACCTTCTGGTACCCCAGACCCCGCCTCGGAGCCTCCTGGGGGTCTCCTGGAACCTCCTGGGGCCTCCTGCGGCCTCCTGGAGCCTCTTGGGGCCTCCTGGAGCCTCCTGGATCTTCTGGGGGGGCCTCCTGGGGCCTCAGAACTACATGCACACACAGAAACACAAATCACACCCAACACATCACACGCTAGACAAACATAACACACACAACACCTACAACGCACAGAAAACACGCACAACACAGAGCACACATCACACACACACACACAACTCACAATCCCGGGGCCTCCCGGAGCCTCTTCCGGTATCCAAGTCGGGCCTCCTGAGGTTTCTTGGGGGGCCTTGGTACACACATCGCAAGGTGTGGCAACCCCACTTGCCCTCGAGTGCGACCTCGATCTTAGATTCTTCTGCGTTCACCTCCTGCCTCTTCCCCTTCTCTTAGGCACGCCCTGGCGGCGCCGCCGCAGCTTCCCCTTCTCCATCTCCGATCCTGCAGTCATGGTGTCTTCCTGCTTCAAACGCCCTTTCAGTTGTTTTTTTTTTTTTGTATGAGCCTGGGCACACACGTGCCACTTGTATATATATATACACATATATATATGTTTGTATGTATGTATGTATGTACGTACGTACGTATGTATGTATGTATGTATGTATGTATGCATGCATGTATGTATGTATGTATGTATGTATGTATGTATGTATGTATGTATGTATGTATGTATGTATGTATGTATGTGTATATATACACGTATAGCATCAAGGAATCGTGCTCCAGGTGAGGCCCAATCGATAGGAGCATACGTAAAACACATAGGATTGGAGCCACTCCTGCCTTCTGAGATCTCCTGCTCCTGGTGCCTCTCGGGGCCTCCTGTTGCCTTCCGAGGCCTCCTGGCGCTTCCTGTGGCCTCCTGGGGCCTCCTGTGGCTTCCTGAGGCCTTCTGGGGCTTCCTGGGGCCTCCTGGAGCCTCTTGGGACATCCTGTGGCCTCTTGAGTCTTTCTGTGGCCTCCTGATGCCTCCTGGGACCTCATGTGGTCTCCTGGGGCCTCCTGGAGCCTGTTGGAGCCTCCTGTGGCATCCTGAGAAGAATCTGCGCCCACGAGCCTGGCCACCAAAACAGGCAAACCGATCGAGACATCCTCAACATCTGGCCCACCTGGGGGGTGAAAATGAGCGCCTCGCTCAAGACATCCTCCAAATCTGCTCCGACAGCGGAGGATGTTGGGACAGAAAACAGGCAGACCGCTTGAGACATCCTCACAAAACGGCAGCGAACGGGACCGTGAAAACATCCTTGGCGGCCCCCCTTAGGGACGTGAGAATGAGCGCTTCGCTCGAGACATCCTCCAAATCTGCTCCGAAAGTGAAGGATGTTGGAACAGAAAACAGGCAAACCGCTCGAGACGTCCCCGCAAAACGGCCGCGAACGGGACCGTGAAAACAGCCCTGGCGGCCCCCCTTAGGGTGGTGCTCGAGACATCCTCCAAATCTGCTCCGACAGCGAAGGATGTTGGGACAGAAAACAGGCAAACCGCTTGAGTCATCCCTACAAAACGGCCGCGAACGGGGCGTGCGTGAGTCTCACCATGAGTAAGTCTGAGTATGAGTAGGTCTGAGTATGAGTAGGTCTGAGTATGAGTAATTTTGTGTGTGAGTAAGTCTGGGTATGAGTAAGTCTGAGTGTGAACCAGTCACTGTATGAGTAAGTCTGGGTATGACGAGGAGAGGGGAGGAGAGGAGGAAGAAGGAGGAGTAGGAGGCGTCCAAGAAATAACAAGAACCCCATCTTTAAACTATGGGGAAAATAATCAGGGGACTATTGTTTTGCATGTTTTGACCATTTCGGAGCATTGTTTGAGTATCTTTTATTCTTCGTCGAAAATCCCCGTGTAGAGGGACAGGCCCGACGTAACACATGGCGAGGCAAGGCTGCTGGGCCAGGCAGTCTGGTGGATGGTGGCGGGGCGGATGCTGCCCAGACATCGTGGCGTCTCGAACAAAGCGAGGCGGAGGTGTTTTGTTCGCCTGTCCCCAGGACTGGTGGCTTCTCTTGTGTCCGACGTGGGCTCGATGCGGACTCGACGCGGACTTGGCGTTGTTTGGACTCGGATTCGGCGTGGAATCGACATGGATCCGACACGAATCCGACGAGTCCGACATGGATCCGACACCGATTCGACGCGGATATGGCCGAGAGGGGACAGGCAAGGTCCCCCCCCCGAGGATGCAAGATAAGGTCGGAGAATGGCGCCGCATGGACGATGCATTGGCGATCGCGGCTTCATGTGGAGCACGATTTTTCCACGTCGACGTCGCCGATGCAGTGCCGACGTTGCCGATGCACCGCCGATGCAACGGCGATGCGGCGCGACTCCTTCTCGGGCCCCAGCCGGGAGGCCTCTATTGATGCTTGTCGTGTATCTTTGATGATGATGATGATGATGATGATGATGATGATGATGATGATGATGATGATGATGATGATGATGATGATGGCAGTGGTGGTGGTGATGCTGATGTTGTTGTTGATGATGATGATGATGGTGAAGGTGATGGTGATGGTGATGATGACGATGACGATCACGATGATGATGATGATGATGATGATGATGATGATGATGATGATGATGATGATGATGAGGATATGGTAGAGATAGATGAGATAGGATGAGGATGAGATGAGGATGAGAATGAGATGATTGAGAATATGATGATGAATGAATGATGTAGAGAGGATGATGATTGGATGATGATGAGGATGATGATGATGCTGATGGCCGCAGGAGCCCCATGGCCGAGGGCACCATCAGCCCAGGCATGGGCCGCGTCTTCTCGCTGAAGGCGCCCCGCCGTTGGCCCCGCCCTGCGCGGCTCGGTCCGGCCTGCGTGCGCGTGCGGGGCGGGACGAGCTGCGCTCGCGAGGGGCAGGCCATCGACTCTCCGCGGCACCGTTCGCGGGGGAGCTTGTGAGGTTCTCGGAAGACTTCGTCGGTTCTCGGCGGCTTTTTCTCTCCCCCTCTCCTCCTCCTCCTCCTCCTCCTCCTCTTCCTCCTCCTCCTCTTCCTCCTCCTCCTCCTCCTCCGCCTCCTCCTCCTCATCATCCTCCTCCTCCTCATCCTCCTCCTCCTCCTCCTCTTCCTCCTCTCCAGCCTCGGGGTGCTCGCTGGCAGCCGCACCTCGCCGAGGGCGTGCAGGGGGTGCCCAGATCGTCCCGAACGGCCGCCAGAGACCCGCGTGAGGACCCGAGGACCGGACGACGAGGACCACAGGGGGTGAGTGGCGCAGGGGGGGTGTTTTGCATCGGCCCCCAGCCGCCCGTGCATCGCCGATCAGGGGCTTGATTTATGTCGGGCGTGTCCCCCTACAGGGGGATTTTCGAGGAAAATGAAAAATACCCCCCCCCCAAAAATATACCAAAAGGTCAAACCATACTCAAAACATAGTCCCCATATTATTTTTGGATTATTCCCCACATCCTGAGTGGGGTTTTTGTTTTCCCAGAACATCCTCTCCTTCTCCCTCCCGCCTCCCATATCAATGCCATTCCCACCCCTCCACGGAGGCCCCGCCTGAGCGAGGAGGGTATCGGAAAACCATACTATTTACATGGTTTCGTGCCCCTCCCACCTCTCCAGGGAGGCCCCGCCTCAGCGAGGAGGGTATCGGAATCCCGCACTTTTTATATGGTTTCGTGCCCCTTCCACCCCTCCAGGGAGGCCCCGCCTGAGCGAGGAGGGTATTGGAACCCCATACTACTTGCATGGTTTCGTGCCCCTTCCACCCCTCCAGGGAGGCCCCGCTCCTCCCTTCTCCCTTCTCTAGCACCTGTCCTCCCTCCTCCTTTCTTTCGTCTGCCCTTTCGTGCGTACTTACTCGTTCGATGAGCTTCTCCTTCGTGTTGGTGTTGTCGTACCCCATGGGTCCCACGAAACCGTTGATATCTTTATGTGGGGAATTCCGTTAGCATGATTTTTTCCAAAACCATGTTTTGGGTACTTTTATTTTTCGTCGAAAATCCCCTTGTACGGGGAGAGGCCCGACTGAAGGCTTGACGGCCCACCCTGGCCATGAGGGTGCGGTGTGGGTATCGAGAGCGTCTCGCCGATCTATCGGCGATGCAGCCGACCCGCATGAGAAGGATGGGCAGTCTTCCCAAGGGTGCCCTGGCATCCTTGCCCCTTCGGCCTATCCTGAGCCACTTTCGCTGGCCGCTCCCCGCTCGAGGAGCTTCGACATGGCCCTCCAAGGCGCTTGCATCCTTACCTACGGGACGGGAAAACGACCACAGCCACTGCTTTTCTTTTGTTGCCGCCTTCCAGCCAGCAGCAACAAAGCAGTGGTTGTGGTCATTTTCGTTAGGCTTGGCACCAGGGAAATTACCACAGCCACTGCTTTTTTTCGGCCGGCTGGAGGGCGGCGCAAGCAAGAAGCAGTGGCTGTGGTCATGTTCCCGTCCCGCAGTAATTACCATGCGTCTTTGTGATACAGGTCGACCGTATATCGCCGAGCCAGTTTCCCCATATCGTTCACCTTCCGACTCATAAAACAAAGCATGACACCCTTACGGGAGAAGACCCCAGACAGTTTTCCACGGTCACGATGGGGGCCACGATTTGGGGTCACTGTGGGGAGCCACGATGGTGGGATAGGGATAGCGATAGGGGTAGGGATGAGGATATGGTGCCAGCCAGGGATATAGGGACACAGGAGGGGTATGGATAGATCTAGAGGACTGTCGTCGGGGAAAGGAGGGATCGGGATACGGATCAGGATATGGGGATGCGGATAAGCATTGGGATAGCAATGGGAGACACTGGAGGACAAGACAACAGGAGACAACTGAAGACAACGGGAGACGAGTGGTGGTAAGGGGAGACTGGGGGCCAACGTCGCCCGGCCCATTCCCGATCCGGCGGTCCACCTGTTCGTTTTTGTGAAGGCGTGTTCGGGTGTTGCAAGAAGTACCCCTGGCCCAAGGTACCCCCAGGATTCTCGGGGTGGCCCAGACGGCCTCCAGGGCACCCCTCACGAGGCCCAGGGGGCCCCAGGGGCTGCAAAATAGTGCGAAAAGCTGGGGGCACCTTGGGCCAGGGGCACTTCTAGCAACACCCGACGTGTGTTCGAACCATGCTCGAAGGTCCGCGCGGGTGCTCTGGATCTCTTGGGTCGGCGCCGGAGACCTCCTCGGCGGCGCTTCCGCCTGCCCTGGGGGCGGAGCCCTTCCGTGCGTGCAGCACTGCGTTCCCGTGCTCGTCCCACACTTCGCCCTTCTCCACCTTCTAGCCTTAAGTCGGGCCCGCCCCTCTGCAGGAGGAATATTCAAAAATAGTTCCCCAAAAATAGTCAGGGGACTATTTTTTCATATTTTTGTGACCATTTGGGAGTATTTTTGAATATTTTTTATTTTTCGTCGAAAGTCCCCCTGTAGGGGGTCAGGCCCGATTTAATGATAGCCCTTCCGCCGCCGTTTCGCTTCCAGCACTGGCACTAGACCGCTACTCCAAATCCCTTACTAATCGCCCCCCCCTAAAACACCGGACCCCCCTCCAGATGCGACCTAGTATTCCGGACCCCCTTCTTCGACGGGGCGCCTTAATAAACCAGACCCCCTAAGCTCCAATCCACTGAAAGCGCCCTAATAAACCGGACCCACCCAGTTACAAAAAAGGCCCTGTTACTAAAAACCGGAATTTGGGGACGATTAGTAAGGGATTTGGAGTAATGCTATTGACTTGATTGATTGTTGAGTCGCATAGCTTGCGACTCTTGGATGCATTAAAGCAATGTTATCCGAATTCTTCGTATCAGTGGCATCGTGAAATCTTCAGATTCGACCTCTGTGCCAGCTTGAAGTTCATTGCATAAAATTTTGCAGTCCGAAGGGAAACATTGGAATCCCATGCAAAGAAACACCCAGCTTGCTTCCAGGGTGCTTTTGGTTTCGTGGGATTCGATGGTTCTACTACGGATACCGTGACGTCCCCATACCAAAAGTCAATGGACATTTTTGGGTCTCCGGGTTTGATTTCTTGTGTAAGGCTTTCTGTGGTCGAGCTCCTACTGTAGCGTCGATCCAAAAGTCCACGAATGATCTCGCCGAGAAGCTCGACGATTGAACGACTTGCTGCGAGCAACATCGCGCCGAGCAGAAGCAAAATACCGACAGTGTCCCAGTTGAGCAGTCAGAGTCCGTCCCGCTTTCCCTGCCCCCTCCTCTCCTTTTTTGCGTTGCTGGAAGTGCAGCAGGCAAAGGCGGGGGATCCAGGGATGATCGGGAAGAGGGCGGTGAGGATGGTTCAGAGGCAGACCCACTTAAGTGCCAACTCTCTCGCCCCCTCTTCGGTTATGGTCCATCGCGCCGTGGCTGGCGGCGGAGCTGGAACAAGGGAAGAGGCTTCCCGCTTCCGCCATGAGGGAAGCGGGTCCTGGAGTTCTGTTCGCAGTTTTCAAACTCTCGGGGGCCTTCCAGGACCCCAGAATATCTCAAAGCTATCCAGCTTGGTTCGCCTGAAAAGCGCCCTGGGCGTCTTTTTGTTAGCGTCTTCTACGTGTTTGCGCATTTGTCTTTGTTTTCGCGTTTTGTTGGGCTCTTGAAGGCTGTACGTGTTTTTTTCGAATTGTTCGAACAGTTATTGTTGCGTTTGTCTGGTGTCCTTTTTAACTTATTGCGTTTTCAGGCTGCAAACGTAACAATGCATAGTTGTCCTAGCGTTTTTGAATTTTTGTTTCGAGACCCGAAAGCGCTACAACACTGATTTCCAAGACGCCGAACCGAAAACGCAACAAAACCACCCTGGGCAGACTTAAGGCGAACCAACTACCCAGGATGGAAGGTAAAGGCCCTCCCCCCCAGGGGCAACGCGTGCGCCTCAGAAGCCTTCCAGTCCATGCTCTGTGGCGAGCGCTTTTCTGTTCATACCGCCTGGGTAACGATCTTCTGCAAGGTCATCGTACTACAGTTTCGTTTTGGACGTGCGCCTCCCATGGAGCGCACATCATTCGTTTGCCATCCTACGTGTTTTCCCCATATCCTAAGATGGGGTTCTTGTTATTACTTGGACGCCTCCTACTCCCTCTCCGTCTCCCTCCTCCTCTTTCCTCCTCCCCTCCTGTCGGACTTACTCATACCCAGACTTGCTCATACTCAGACTTACTCATACACAGACTTACTCATACTCAGACTTACTCATACTCAGACCTACTCATACTCAGACTTACTCACACTCAGGCATACTCATACACAGACTTACTCATACACAGACTTACTCACACCCAGACGTACTCATACACAGACTCACTCATACCCAGACTTACTCATACACAGTAGTAGTCATACTCAGACTTACTCATACCCAGACGTATACATACACAGACTTTCTCATACACAGACCTACTCATACCCAGACTTACTCATACACAGACTTACTCATACACAGACTTACTCATACTCAGGCATACTCATTTTCAGCACCCCTAAGGGGAGCCGCCAGGGATGGTTGCACGGGCTCGTTCGCGGCCATGCTGTGGGGAGGTCTCAGGCGGTTTGCTTGTTCCCCATATGCTAAGATGGGGTTCTTGTTATTACTTGGACGCCTCCTACTCCTCCTTCCTCCTCCTCCTATTTCCTCCTCCCCTCCTCATACTCAGACTTACTCATACTCAGACTTACTCATACTCAGAACTTTCTCATACACAGACCTACTCATACCCAGACTTACTCATACACAGACTTACTCATACACAGACTTACTCACACTCAGGCATACTCATACTCAGACCTACTCATACTCAGACTTACTCAACACACATCAGATTTGGAGGATGTCTCAAGCGGGGCGCTGGTTTCAGCACCCCTAAGGGGAGCCGCAAGGGGTGGTTGCACGGGCTCGTTCGCGGCCATTTTGTGGGGATGTCTCAGGCGGTTTGCCTGTTTCTGGGCCCAACATCCTTCGCTTTCGGAGCAGATTTGGAGGATGTCTCGAGCGAGGCGCTCATTTCAGCACCCCTAAGGGGAGCCGCCAGGGGTGTTTGCACGGGCTCGTTCGCGGCCAGTTTGTGGGGATGTCTCAGGCGGTTTGCTTGTTTCTGGCCCAACATCCTTCGCTTTCGGAGCAGATTTGGAGGATGTATCGAGCGAGGCGCTCATTTTCAGCCCCAGTGGGCCAATTTTGAGGAATGTCCGATTGGTTGCTTGTTTTGGTGGCCAGCTCGTGGCCCTAAGGAGTCCGCAGGGGTGTGTGCACGGGCTCGTTCCATCCATTTTTTTTATTGTGTGGATTCTTTTAATAAGCGGTTTGCTTGCTTCTGGGCTCAACATCCTTCGCTTTCGGAGCAGATTTGGAGGATGTCTCGAGCGAGGCGCTCATTTTCACCCCCCAGGTGGGCCAGATTTTGAGGATGTCTCGATCGGTTTGCTTGTTTTGGTGGCCAGGCTCGTGGCCCTAAGGGGAGCCGCCAGGGGTGGTTGCACGGGCACGTTCGCGGCCATTTTGTGGGGATGTCTCAGGCGGTTTGCTTGTTTCTGTGCCCAACATCCTTCGCTTTCGGAGCAGATTTGAAGGATGTCTCGACGAGCGCTCATTTTTCACCCCCCAGGTGGCCAGATTTGAAGGATGTCCTCGATCGGTTTGCCTTTTTGGTGCCAGGGCTTCGTGGCGCAGATTCTTCTCAGATGCACAGGAGCTCCAACAGGCTCCAGAGGCCCCGGCAAGGAACCACATGAGGTCCAAGCATCAGGAGGCCACAAGAAAGACTCAAGCGCAACAGATGTCCCAAGAGGCTCCAGGAGGCCCCGGGAAGCTCCAGAAGGCCTCAGGAAACTACAGGAGGCACCAGGAGGCAACAGGAAGCGCCAGGAGGCCTCGGAAGGCAACAGGAGGTCCCGAGAGGCCCCAGGAGCAGGAGGCCTCAGAAGGCAACAGGAGTGGCTCCACCCATGTGTTTTACGTATGCTCCTATCGATTGGGCCTCACCTGGAGCACGATTCTTTGATGTTCTACGTATATTTCTATATATTGTCCTTCTCCTGTGTAAGCAATCCTATTTGTTTTACTGTTGTTCCTACATTTTGGGCCTCTCCTGGGGCACGAGTCCTTGGTGTTTTACGTGTGTTCCTGTAGACCCATATACAATATTACCTTTAAAAAAGGATGCACATATGGGGAGCTCCACGCAGTGAGTAATTTCTGGGCTCAAGATCCTTCGCTTGGAGAGCCAGATTGTAGGATGTCCCTCTGGCGGCCTGGGTTTCACACCCCTAAGGGGAGCCGCCAGGGTGGTTTGCACGGGCTTCGTTCGCGCCATTTTTGTGGGGATGTCTCAGGCGTTTGCTTGTTTCTGGCTCAACATCCTTCGCTGGAGAGCAGATTGTGAGGATGTCCCTCAGCGGGCGCTGGTTTTCAGCACCCCTAAGGGGAGCCGCCAGGGTGGTCACACGGGCTCGAGTTCGCGCCATGTTTTGGGGATGGTCTAGCGGTTTGCGTGTTTTCTTGGGCTCAACTCCTTCCGCTTGGAGAGCAGTTGTGAGAATTCTCCAGCGTGGGCGCTGTTTCCAGCACCCAAGGAAGCCGCCCAGGGGTGGTTGCAACGGGCTCGTTCGCGCCCATTTGTGGGGATGTCTCAGGCGGTTTGCTTGTTTCTGGGCTCAACATCCTTCGCTTGGAGAGCAGATTGTGAGGATGTCTCAGGCGGGGCGCAGGTTTCAGCACCCCTAAGGGAGCCGCCAGGGGTGGTTGCACGGGCTCGTTCGCGGCCATTTTGTGGGGATGTCTCAGGCGGTTTGCTTGTTTCTGGGCTCAACATCTTTCGCGTGGAGAGCAGATTGTGACGATGTCTCAAGCGTGCCGCTGGTTGCAGCACCCTTATAGGGAGCCGCCAGGGGTGGTTGCACGGGCACGTTCGCGGCCATATTGTGGGGATGTCTCAGGCGGTTCGCTTGTTTCTGGGCTCAACAGGGAGGGAAATGACAGGAACGAGGATGAGGAGGAGGAAAAGGAGGAGGAGGAGGAGGCGGGGGATCGTGAGGAAGGCCATGGGGGTGCGGAGGGGGAGGGGGAGCAGGAGGATGAGGAGGAGGAGCAGGAGCAGGAGAAGGGAGGGGGCGGAGGAACAGGAGGAGGAGGAGGAGGAGGAGGGCGCTTTGCTCGAAGGTCCTTGACGCGAGCAGAACGTTTGTTCCGAAGTCCAGGCCATGTATAGGTATATGTATATGTATGTATATATATATGTATGTATGTATTCATAGGGGGTGACTGCGAGGGGGGGGCTGTGGTTGTGTGCGGGGATCGTTGGGAATGCTCACCGTGGCACTGTCCTCCAACATGACATGCACTTATGGCCTTGTGTGGCTAAACGCTCGTCTTACATATCCCATTGCCAACTATCCTACAACATATGCGCATGTGGGAAGCTCCAAAGCTACCGCGGGCTGAAAAGGGGAAGACCTGGCAGCTGAGGAGGGGGGATGAAGAGGAAGAGGCTCGCATTCAACCATACACAAAGCTCACTCTGACTCACACGCAATCACTTGCATTAGGGGTCACTCGTCTTCGTCGGCCCTGTCGCCCACGTGGACGCGCTATTGTAGTCGACCGACCGCTCATGAACAGACGCTCGCCACGGCATGACATAAAACATGAGGTGCACATATGGGGAGCTCCACGCAGTGAGTAATTTTGTTCCATGCCAACACTTGCCCTTCTGGACTCTCCCAGGGCCGGGCCCGCCAGCTGCACGATCCCGTTTCGCCTTCCGCGCGTGCGGGAACGCGGGCAGTTTGTTGCTGCAGCGGCGAATTTCCCTGGGGTGCCTCCTGTCCGGTGTGCCCTCGCGCAGCTCTGTCCTGCGCCTCTCGTCGGGAGGGAACGGAGATCGATGGCGCATGCTGCCGCTGGAAGCCCGCCAGCCTGTTCCACCTCGGTTGTTGTCCCAAGGCCTCGCGTTAGGGCGGGCATGTCCCTGTACAGGAGGAATCTTCAATATCCTGGGGACGACTCTCTATTATTTCTGGATGAGTTTTGAGCATGTTTTGGCTACTTTGTATGTTTCGTCCAGAATCCGCCTGTAGGCCTGTTGGAGGACATGCCCGGCCTAAGCCTCGTGCTTCTTCAGCACGCAGGTGCTGATGGTTTCCCCACGGCGGCGTGTCTTCGGCGTCACCCCAACATGCTGATACTACGTGTGCGTCGCCCCCCCATCAGGGGCGACGCGCGCGCCGAGAATTCTTGCAGTATTCGCGTCGTGGCGGGCGCTCTCTTGCCGCATCGCTTGGGGAACGACATGCTGTAAGATGATTGTACTATATGTTCGGGTCGGACGGGAGCATCCGAGGAGGGGGAGGAGGAGGAGGAGGAGGAGGAGGAGTAGGAGGAGACCCCTCCTCGCGAGGCGGACCCAGATCCCGAGGAGACCATATTCGACGTGGAGATCCGTATCGGCAAAAAGAGGGCCAAGTGCGAGGAGGGGGCGTGGCGGGCAGTTCGAGGAGGAGGAGGAGGAGGAGGAGGAGGAGGAAGTGGGCGATGACATAACGGGGACAGGGAGGGAAGGGGGGAAGGGGGTGGGGGGCCAGGTGCGATCGGAAGGAGGAGGAGGAGGCGCCGAGGAGCAGGAGGAGAAGGAGGAGAAGCGGGACGAGAGGGGGTGAGGGGGTGAGGGGGAGAGGGGGAGGGGGGAGGAGGGCGGAGAGTGCGGAGCAGTATGATGGCAGGAGGAGGAAGTGAGAGGACCGGGATGCTGTGGGGGAGAAGGACCAGGAGAAAGAGTGTGGGCGGGGAAGGGGGTGGGGGGGATGGGGATGAGCGGATAACGTATTGGGGATCGAACCATTGTGCGAGCGCGTTGACATGTCTTCAGCGCTCTTCGATCGAGTCGGACGCGCTCGTTTTGCGATTTCATTTGATTTCCGCGGCAATGGCTCTTTGGCGCCACTATTGGAGGACATGCGTTCGGCGCCGTCGGTCCTGTGCTCGGGCCATCCTCAATTGGGCATCCAGAGAAACTTGCACGCAGCCTCGCGCACGAGCGCAGACGCGTCCTGGCGGAGGGCTTGGGAGGTGTTCAGAGGCCACGGGGGTGTCTGAAGATCTCAGGGGGTCCCCTGAGGCCGCCCCGAAGCATCCAGAGGCAGGAGAGGTGTCAACGAGGTATGATATCTAAATTCCCTGCCCGTTCTACATCCAGCTCCGAGAGCCTCACCGCATCGACCCAGCTGCTACTGCAGCGTTGTGGCCCGAACTTTGCACATTTCGGGTGAACCAGCGCTTCGCTTTGCATCAAAAGATCGTTCGCCCTGACTTACGCAATTATTCGAGTCTGTCTTCGTACCGTGCGGCGTGACCGACGAGAAGATCGCGGGAGGTTGTCGGCGAGCAGGTCATCTTCGTGGACGGGTTCTTGGCCGACTGATGAAGGACGACTGCATGCCGATCCCCAGGCACAAGAGAGGTCTTCCCGCCCTTCCCAATTGGAAGGTGATCGGCGTCCTCCTCGTCCCTCCGCCGTCCTCGCAGCCCTGCGCCCTCTTCCCACCTGTGTCCTCCATCCCCCCCTCCCTCCAGCCTCGTCCTCACGCATGGTCCCACTCACTCAGGGGCGTTGGTCCCCACAAGCCGGTTGTACTCGAACAAGCTCCGTCGCAAGGAGGGGAGGGAGGGGGAAGGAGTGGAGCGGGCCGGAGGAGAAGGCCGTGGAGGTTCTGGCCTGCGCTTCGGGGGAGAAGCAGGATGGGTAGTAGTAGGAGAAGGAGTACAGTCCACCCGCACAGTAAGGATGAGCGGCTCTCCAAGGTTACCTTTGCATCCTCCCCCCCTTCGGGCCATCCTTTGCCGCCTTCGCCGGCCGCGCCCTGCCCGCAGGGTGCCGAGACGGCCCTCCAAGGCCCTCGCGTCCTTGTCGTGCGTCCCTCTGCTGCGGGCTGACCGCATGGGGCCGGGGACGTCCTGGCCCGGGCCGAGCCCGCGGACCTCGGAGTTCCCCCCGGAGGTCACGCCAGAAGCCTCCGGCGGCTCTCCGGACGGAGGGGGCGGCGGGATCCTGGCCCCAACAGGGGCCCTCAAGGGCGTCTTCTCTTCACCCCCCATCTGGGTCACGGTCACCCTCCATTGCCACCCGCCCGAAGGATGGATGAGGGGCGGGACGGGCGAGGTAGAGGAGGAGGAGGAGGAGGGGCAAGACGGAGGGAGATCAGTAGGTAGGGGAGCAGGAGGTCTTCGTCGTCTGCCTCCACATCGTTCTTCGCTCCCACGCTCGCCCTCGCCCTCTCCCCCGGGTGCACCCACCCCTCCCCACCAGGAAGGATGGAAAGGGGGAGCGGGGCAGCAAGCAAGCAAGCTCGGCGCCTCGATGGCGCATCGGTATCCAGAACACAGGCGCCTCATGCAGCTCACACCTTCGCCGGGGCAGCGCGGGGCAGAAGACTCGAGGATCGAGGTCTGCGGGCGTTCCTGGACATTGCCCGAGCCTCCGAGGCCCCCTGTGGAGGTGGAGGAGGGGAACGGGGCTGCAGGCTGGAGGAGGGAAGGGTGGTCTGAGTGCGACCGCGTGTGTGCGTGAGTGTGGCCCGTTGGGTGTCTGTGTGGCCCGGTGCGTGTTTGTGTGGCCCGGTGCGCGGTTGGGCGGGTGTTATTGTGGCCCGCGCCGGCTTTTCAATCGAGAGTGATGATTGAGATTTCTTTGGCTAGTAGCAAATGTCTGAGCAACTCTTGAAGGGTTGCATTCCCGCCCAAAGAAAGGGGGCACACAATTCGTCGTAGCAGTAGTAGTAGCAGTAGTAGTAGTGGTTGTTAATGTAGTTGTTGAAGTAGTAGTATACGCAAAGGTAGACAAGTATGAGAAGTAGTAGGATAAGTAGTCGGAGAAATTGTAGAAGTAGTAGTAGAAGAAGCCGTAGTAGTAGTGGTAGTAGTAGTAGTAGTCGTCGTAGTAGTCGTAGTCGTAGTTGTAGCCGTAGTAGGGGTAGTAGTAGTAGTAGTAGTAGTAGTAGTAGTAGTAGTAGTCGTCGTACTCGTACTCGTAGTCGTAGTCGTAGTCGTAGTCGTAGTCGTAGTCGTAGTCGTAGTCGTAGTAGTAGTAGTAGTAGTAGTAGTAGTAGTAGTAGTAGTAGTAGTAGTAGTAGTAGTATCAGTCGTAAAGGTAGTAGTAGTGGTAGTAGCAGTAGTAGTAGTAGTAGTCGTCGCACTCGTACTAGTACTAGGACTAGTACTCGAACTAGTATGAGCACTAGTGCTAGTGAAAGTCGTAGTGGTGGTCGCAGTCGTTCTCGTAGCCGTAGTAGTCGTAGTAGTAGTAGTAGTAGTAGTCGTCGTCGTAGTAGTAGTAGTAGCAGCAGTAGTAGTAGTAAGTAGTAGCCGTACCAGTAGTGATAGTAGTAGTTGTAGTAGTAGTCGTACTACTACTACTACGAGTACTAGTACTACTAGTACTAGTCGTAGTCGTAGTCGTAGTCGTACTTGAACTCGAAGTCGTAGCCGTAGTCGTGGTCGTAGTCGTAGTAGTAGCAGTAATAGTTGTAGTAGAAGTGGCAGTAGTCGCAGTAGCAGTAACAGTAGCAGTAGCAGTAGTAGTAGTAGTAGTCGTAGTAGTAGTAGTAGTAGTAGTAGTAGTAGTCGTAGTAGTAGTCGTAGTAGTAGTAGTAGTAGCAGTAGTAGTAGTAGTGGTAGTAGTCAAAGTAGTAGCGGTAGTAGTAGTAGTAGTGGTAGTAGCAGAAACGGCCGAGGGCCTAAGGAGTAGTAGGAACGTAGTGAGGAAGTCATACTAGTATAGTGTAGGAGTAAGTAGTCGTAGTAGGAGTTTGTAGCCGTGTAGTAGAAGTCGTAGTAGCAAGCAAGTAGTAGGCGTAGTAGTACAGTAGTTAGTAGTAGTAGTAGTAGTAGTAATCGATGCTGTAGGTCTTATAATAGCTGTAGTTTATAGTCGAAGCTGGTAATGTATCGTAGTCGAAGTGTTAGTAGTAGTAGTAGTAGTAGTAGTAGTAGTAGTAGTAGTAGTAGTAGTAGTAGTAGTAGGCCGTCATCGGTAGTTGTAGGTCGTGGTAAGTCAGTTTGGGGCGTAGCAGGTGCTCCAGTAGTATGAGACGTAGTAGTAGCAGTAGTAGTAGTAGTAGTAGTACGACTTTCGGTCGTAACAGCTAGCAGTGGTAATGGCATTGGTAATGGTGCTGGCAGCGACAATGCCAGTCGCGGTCGTAATCATAGTAGCGTTAGTAGCAGACGTCGGAGTAACAGTAACAGCAGTAGTCGCAGAAGTACGAGTGGTAGTAGTAGTAGTAGTAGTAGCAGTAGTAGTAGTAGTAGTAGTGCTAGTACCAGTAGTAGTAGTAGTAGTAGTAGTCGTAGTCGTAGTCGTAGTCGTAGTCGTAGTCGTAGTCGTAGTAGTAGTAGCAGTAGTAGTAGTAGTAGTAGTAGTAGTAGTAGTCGTAGCCGTAGTAGTGGTAGTAGTAGTCGTAGTAATAATATTAGTAGTTGTAGTATTCATCCTAGTCGTTGTACTTAGTAGTAGTTCTAGTCGTAGCCGTAGTCGTGGTAGTACCAGTGGTGGTGGTAGGAGTGGTTGCAGCAGTGGTAGTAATAGTAGCAGTAATCGCAGAAGTAGTAGTCGTTGTTGCTGTAGCTGCAGTAATACTAGTAGTCGGATGTGTAGAAGCAGTAGGGGTAGTCAGAGTAGCAGTAGTAGTAGTACTAGTAGTAGTAGTAGTAGCAGGAGTAGTAGTAGTAGTAGTCGTAGTCGTAGTCGTAGACGCGATAGTCTCAGTAGTAGTTATAGCAGCAGCAGTAGTAGTAGTTGTAGTAGTAGTAGTACTAGAAGTAGAAGTAGTAGTAGTAGTAATCGTAGAAGTAGTGGTGGTAGGTCGTGGTAGTAGTAGTTGTAGTAGTAGCAGTAGTACTCGTAGTAGTAGAGGTGGTAGTTGTAGCCGTAACAGCAGCAGTAGTAGTAGTAGTAGT